CAAAGGAAGCCAGAAAGTTGAGCCAAAGGAAAGAACAAATGTCATTATTTGACGCTGATTCTTTGTCAAAATACAAGATAATTAAACAAAAAGAAAAATAAGAAAAGATCAAAATGCGAAATAAACTCTAAGAGAAAAATGACAAAAACTATAACAAGACTTAGAACAAAACACTATAAAGGAATGACAATACATCCATATGGCACAATAACCTATAGGGCATGCAACAATTGTCCTGGTGTGGAACTTACACCTACCCACATATTCTCATAGCCAGCAATGGCCGCAGCCTTGCAGAAATTTGACATAGACCCTGAGCAGCAGCTTTACACACCCAAGATAGTGGACATTGCTGCTGCTGTGATGGAGATGCATGGATACATCTGAGGCTCTTTATTGGACACGACAACAACAACAACGGCATTCCAGAGTAAAATAAATTATCAGAGATAGATACATATTTTTCAAATGAATTAAAATAAATATAATCGATACTGAGTGAGAGTTGAATTAAAAATATTAAAAATTTATTATATTCGGAAACAAACCGTATCTAAAATATCAATTTTCGCTTTGCTACATGTTTTAATTTGCATTTACCTATTTTACATATCTCAGATTGTATTTGAAAATCGTTAACCAATTCTTCATACTTTTGGCGAAGTGGTGTTTTATTAATTTGTTATTTGATATTATTAGGTTTCTTTCCTGGGGGGTATTCAAAAAGGAAAAATACATGTCGATCAGTTATATTTTTCAATTTATCAAACAATTTGGCCGCTGAATCTCTGATTCTGGTAGAGCGCCATCTAGCGAATAGAATTGTAACTAAAATCAATTTCGAATTTTTCATTATTTGCCATAAAAAATCCCATTGCATCCTGAATACAATGGTGTTTACCGCATTGCTCTAGCGCAAATATTCGCGGAGTTATTAATTTTTAAAATAGTGCGGGACTTTTGGATCACCCTGTATATGTCATTTTTTTCATGATATCATTATCCTTCATATATGAGTATTTCTGACTGTATTTAGAATATGATCCTGCGTCCATTTATCTATAAAGAAAAGGAAACCATTCATAAATACACAAAATTCATATTGAAGAGGCCAATATTTAGCATATACTGAGATATACTGAAATGGACAAGATCACCTTTCTATATACACTCATGGACAAAATTAAATGGAAAACCTTTGATGTCGCCCATTGTCTGTTTTTTTTTATATAATAAGACAGAGGCAATATTATTCACACTGGTTATCTCTTCTGTCTTCAATAAAGGTTAATGTGTATCAAATATCTTATCAAATTCTATCATTCATCTTTCTATATTTTTCAAAATCAACTTCCATCTAACAAATGGTTTTCAAAATTAACTTTCAGAGTTATTGTCTCAATCCCGATATACATGTTAAAATGTATAACTTCCATAAGTCCACGAGTTTAAATAACCGAAGGATATACTGAGCTGTCTTAAGGAGCACCTTCTACAGGATTTGGTATGAATGGACAAAGAATATCTCTTTTAAAGAACCAATCATATTATACAACATCGTATATTATTGAATTCAATCGTCTAACGTCTCACCACAAGATCTTTCAAGACATTTAAGTGAGTTTAAATAACCGAAGGATATACTAAGCTGTCTTAAGAATCACCATCTACAGGATTTGGTATGAATGGACAAAGAATCGAAAAGAATAGCTCGTTTAAAGAACCAATCATACTATGCAATATCATATATTATTGAAATCAATCTTCTAACGTCTCACCACAAGATCTTTCAAGACATTTGAGTGAGTTTAAATAACCGAAGGATATACTAAGCTGTCTTAAGGAGCACCTTCTACAGGATTTGGTATGAATGGACAAAGTATCGAAAAGTATATCTCTTTTAAAGAACTAATCATTATATGCAATATCGTATAAAATTGAAATCAATCTTCTAACGTCTCACCACAAGATCTTTCAAGACATTTAAGAGCAATAAATATTTATAGCCACAATTCATGAATAATGTTTGCCCGGTATACCCATAAATATATAGAATAACAAGCCAATTGAACCAATAAATGTAAATAGCACCCTAAAGACTTGTAAATAACAAACAGAAATTTCCTTAATTATTTAAGTTTGCAAATTCAACTATTTATTTCCTAAAGGAATCAAATAAAACTTTTAATTACTGGTCGGAATTTATTTGTAATTGTCTTCCCTTTGAACCAAAAGCCTTTTACTCTCTAGTTCACATATATATTCCTTAAATTAGAAATAACTCGAGCCTTCCGTCAAAAACTAAATTTCTAGACAAATTAAATTAATCCTCTCATAGAATTATTTTCCAATCAGACGATGAATTCAAAGGCGAGAATAAATCTGCTGCCAATAAATTCAACGTGGTTGGAATATTTTAAAATAATTCAAAGTTTGTTTTAATCTTAGAAAGATGCCTATCTAAATATTAGTACATTTATCTATTAAATGGCTTAATAGATATTTTATTACACTTATTGTGAATGTATATCTTTTGATATATTTATCTTGTAAAAGAAACATTTGTGCTTTAATGATTTCATTTCCTATATAAAGAAGGAGCTTTATAAATTCTATAATAGATCTCCGATGAAAGATAATTATATCAATTCTAAATATTTTCGATATTCTTTTGAATGAAACAAATAAAGGGAGGATATTGCATAAATTACAAGTTTTTGTCAAAATTTGAATATCGATCTCAAATAATAAATTTTGTTTTCAATTATATGTCTATATATTAGTTTTGGGTGTTTTTATCGCTATTTTTTAAAATGCATTTTTTCTTATCTCTCTTTCTCGTGAGAGAGAACGCTTCACGATTTTGTGTGCCATCCTTGCGCAGGGGCCATGCTAATCTTCTCTGGATCGTTCCTATTGTAGTAGTTGTACCGCCGAACAAGCGTGTACTCTCTTGAGAGAGAACGCTTCACGATTTTGTGTGCCATCCTTGCGCAGGGGCCATGCTAATCTTCTCTGGATCGTTCCTATTGTAGTAGTTGTACCGCCGAACAAGCGTGTACTCTCTTGAGAGAGAACGCTTCACGATTTTGTGTGCCATCCTTGCGCAGGGGCCATGCTAATCTTCTCTGGATCGTTCCTATTGTAGTAGTTGTACCGCCGAACAAGCGTGTACTCTCTTGAGAGAGAACGCTTCACGATTTTGTGTGCCATCCTTGCGCAGGGGCCATGCTAATCTTCTCTGGATCGTTCCTATTGTAGTAGTTGTACCGCCGAACAAGCGTGTACTCTCTTGAGAGAGAACGCTTCACGATTTTGTGTGCCATCCTTGCGCAGGGGCCATGCTAATCTTCTCTGGATCGTTCCTATTGTAGTAGTTGTACCGCCGAACAAGCGTGTACTCTCTTGAGAGAGAACGCTTCACGATTTTGTGTGCCATCATTGCGAAGGGGCCATGCTAATCTTCTCTGGATCGTTCCTATTGTAGTAGTTGTACCGCCGAACAAGCGTGTACTCTCTTGAGAGAGAGATCTATTAAAATTTATAATTCCGTAAATATATTTTTTTCGTGGTGAATCAGAGATAAGACTGATGTACATCTTCAATCAGACTCATTCAAGGTGATCAATCTACCGCCATATTCTTGGCGCAAGATGTTTTCATAGTCTAACTGATCTATTTATTAAAGATTTACATGAAATGAATACCACAATAATGTACTATTGATATAATACAAATGTGTAAAATGTTTATTCGCCTTTAAAATCCGTTTCCAACATCTAGTTAATGATCTCTTTCATATTAGGATAGAGTTGGAGATTTATCCTGGTCTCTACTTGATGAATCAAGAAAGGCCAATCACGTATGCATCAGCGTGGTACCTCAACATCCAAAAATGATGATCATAGAGGCTTACTGAAATATCGAGAAACGGATGGATAGGTTTTTTTACATAGAAAAATAAAACGAGATTGAAGAGGAGTATCTTGTGCGAATTTTACTAGCAGGCTTTCGGACGCATGCGTCCTTCTACAGACTTTTTCGATGAAGCCTGTAGAAGGACGAATGCGTCCGAAAGATTGCTAGTAAAATTCGCACAAGATATTCCTTTTCAATCTCCGTTTTATTTTTCTATTTTAACTCTAAGAGTTTATTTTAGTAAGTTTTTTTTTTTATAAAATATAAGGCCTGGATATTCTTATAAAAAGACAGAATAAGTAAATTCATTATTTCGAGATGTAGAGCTGATGCTGGATGGTGAGAATATGATGAATTTTGAAACTATCCGATAATGCTTAAGAATGGCCTTGTAGAGAGAATTGACAGAAGAAGAACCATTATGTTTGGCCATCTTGTACAACAGTCAGGATGATTAACAGTATTAAGGGAGGGATGTAATGGAAATAAGGCCAAGAAGAGAAAAGCAGAGAATGGAATTTATGTACAATATCGAGAAAAAACAAAATATTTTTTAAAAATTATAATACATTCTTATCATATGAACACATATGTTGCTTGCTTCCAATGTTTAATTATGTTAATGTCACGTTGATTTGATTTGTATATAATTTCAGATTTACACGCAATTATCCTAATTGTGGATATGGCGTGTCTTTGCAACTGTTAAATAAATAAAAACATATGATTATAAAATTCGTATTTTCCTTCATTCGTATATATTCATTTAATATTTTCAAATAATCTTAACAAAATACAGTTCAATAAATGTTCTTGAACTAAATATAGCATAAAAACAAATAGGTTTATGAAAATATTAGTTAATTATATTATGAACAAAAGGATTTTCCTTTAGGGCTTGAGATTCAAGTGAAGAGTCCCCTCCTGTAGCAAGATCCACCTCTACGTTCTTCAGGTCAGAATTTCCTCCAGACCTGAGTGGTTATACAGCCAGTCTTGCTATAGTTGTGGCCTATAGCATCTATAAGGCCTTGAGATACACTTTGATCATAGCCAAAAGGTAGAGAAAGAAAAATAAAAAATACTCCTATCCGGGATTGAACCGGAGACCTTGTGTGTGTGTGAAGCACATGTGATAACCACTACACCACGGATACGTTGCTATATAGGCTAGAGCTTGTTTGTATCAAGAAAAGTGTTCGTCTGAAATTCAGAAATGAAAATGGAAGTTGGCAATGTCAAAATAGTCCACATTTAATCCATCTTGTGGTAAATGTGGACATTAAAAGTTCTGCCTCTTCACAGCTTAGAAATAAATTCAATCACCAAAAGTGCTAAGATTTAGAAAGTTTTCTCATAAAATTCTGTCCGATTTTCTTAGAAATCTTCAAAATATATAAAATATAGTTTTATAAAATAAAAATATATTTTTCAAAATATCTCACATTAAAAAGTAATCAGAAAATATAGAATTAATTATGTTCACAATTTAAAATATTTTTAATGAACATAGAGTTTTTTTAAATATAAATTGAGACAAAAGTAAAACAATTTTTACCATTATATTTAAAATAAAATTCCACATTTAATTGCTATTAATTTTGATTTTAAAAGAAGTCATTCTAAATTAATTAGGGAAGTTACAATTCGGGTTGAACGCAAAATAAAATTTTGGCGGGATATTGAAATTAAAAAGCAGAAATAAAAGATGCCTTGTATCTAACGTAATTTTTATTAAACAGTTTCTATTCAAATTGGACTTGTTACCTTTTAGCTGAATTCTAAATGTTTTTATGTAAATGAAATTAATTTTCATTTATTTTAATTAATGTGAACACTAATTGAGAAAAAGTTTTAAATTCTTCAAAGAATAATAATCAATTTTAATATTTTTAGTTAAATATAGTTTTATTATATATAAATAATTAATAATACCACATTTTTATATTTTCCCATAAGTAAGATTTTTTTAATATCCTTTTTTCATCAAAATTCTATATTTAAGTATAATATATATATATAGTTTTCTTTTATAGTTTCTTTCTAATGAAATGCTCGTTATAATAACTATAATAAATAACTTTGGCATTTTATATTTTAATTTTAAATATTATTTTTAATTTTATAAATTATGATTTAAATATTTTTCATATTTTTTTTTTTTTTTAAATAATTGAGTTAGCCTATTTTAGATATATTTTGGTATCCGTTTTAATAAAGCAATGGTAATAATACAATCAAATTTTTCTGAAATAAAATTAATTATTATTTGAAAATGGCGTTGAATATTTTCTAAGGCAAAATGCCTTTCTTTATCAAGGCTTTTCTTTGATTTAAACTAAATCCCGTGGGTATGTGATCCACTCATGCTATACAAGATCAAAGTACTCTCTAGTACACTCTGATGAAAATTTCACTGTATATAAAATATATATATATATATATATATATATATATATATATATATATATATATATATAATATAGGTATAATCTACATTTATTATACAGTCGAACTTGGATAATTCGAACCCCAAGGGACCATAAAAAAATTCGAATTATCCAAAAATTCGAATTAAAAACGGAAATTATATATATAGGAAATTCTAGGGACCAAGATAAATATTCGAATTAAAGAGGTTTTCGAATTAAAGAAGTTCGAATTATCCAAGTTCTACTGTATTAGAAATAATAATTCTAAATATTTAATTAAATAACCATTTGATTAAATAAATACATATATATATAATAAATATTATTATTTAATGAATAATTCACTCTCTATGCATTATATATTCTAGGAATTAACATCAAAGCTTATTTATTACATTATTTATTTATTATAAAATATTTTACCACACTTGTATATATTAATAATATTATATTTATAATATTATTTTTAGTTTTGAGTAATTCAAAATATTATAGAATGCTTATATTAGGTGTTGTCTTTCAAAAGGTTATCTCATGATGCAGTAGCGCGCCATCTGTTATCAAAATTCGAAACTATTATAGACGCGTATGATTCTTTTTGAAAATAAACAATTTCTACTGGCCTTACTGCAATGGAAAGAGACAGGCCCTCCCATTAATTTTTCTATTGCAGTAAAGTCAGTAAAAATTGTGTAGTTTTAAAAAGAATCATACGCGTCTATAATATTTTCGAATTTTGAAAAAAAGATAACTACTTGCTGTCCTTATAGTGTTACAGATTAGATAAAAGATAACTATATATTTATATATTAGATAGTAAAAAGACGTATATTGGATTGAATAAAGGATTTAATTGCCAATATTTCGGCTGGCTGAACGCCAACCTTTATCGAGGCATTACATTTTTGTATACCCAAACTCAGCGCCGCATAGTGTTATAATATTACAGTTGAAATCATTTAAAATACAAATTAGGTGGGGAAAATTTTGTGCATGAAAATATTATTATAAAATTACAATCAGAATAAGTTGAATATCTTAAAATATTGAAGGAAAAATAATAAGGCTATCTTATATTTTAAAATATTTGTATTAAGTACATAAAATATAATTCATTAATAATTCTTTAAGATATAAAGGTAAAAATATATGTATCTAATAAAACATTTGAAAATTATTTATATATATATTTATATGAAAAAAGAAAAAGGCATCTCCTTATCGTGCAACTGAAAGTTGCTGATGGCTGAGCGCCATCTATCGGAATAAATATCAACTATTCTCGTTGATTTTTTTTATTCCATAATTGGCCAAATACCCATTCTTGATTAATCAAGAAAAGCTAACCACGGACGCGTTTCGGGCTGTTGGCCCTCATCAGCGTGGTGCAAGCTGTACCTCAAAGACCAAAAAAAAATGGTCATTAAGGCATCCTGAAAAATCATGAAACGGGTAGTTAAGGCCAGAATTGCGTGAGGACTCTACACAATGTGAAAAAATAGTACAAATGTAACATTGTACTGGGATAAGGTGCATAAATCATGAAAAAAGAAAAAGGCATCTCCTTATCGTGCAACTGAAAGTTGCTGATGGCTGAGCGCCATCTATCGGAATAAATATCAACTATTCTCGTTGATTTTTTTTATTCCATAATTGGCCAAATACCCATTCTTGATTAATCAAGAAAAGCTAACCACGGACGCGTTTCGGGCTGTTGGCCCTCATCAGCGTGGTGCAAGCTGTACCTCAAAGACCAAAAAAAATGGTCATTAAGGCATCCTGAAAAATCATGAAACGGGTAGTTAAGGCCAGAATTGCGTGAGGACTCTACACAATGTGAAAAAATAGTACAAATGTAACATTGTACTGGGATAAGGTGCATAAATCATGAAAAAAGAAAAAGTTTCATGATTTTTCAGGATGCCTTAATGACCATTTTTTTTTGGTCTTTGAGGTACAGCTTGCACCACGCTGATGAGGGCCAACAGCCCGAAACGCGTCCGTGGTTAGCTTTTCTTGATTAATCAAGAATGGGTATTTGGCCAATTATGGAATAAAAAAAAATCAACGAGAATAGTTGATATTTATTCCGATAGATGGCGCTCAGCCATCAGCAACTTTCAGTTGCACGATAAGGAGATGCCTTTTTCTTTTTTCATGATTTATGCACCTTATCCCAGTACAATGTTACATTTGTACTATTTTTTCACATTGTGTAGAGTCCTCACGCAATTCTGGCCTTAACTACCCGTTTCATGATTTTTCAGGATGCCTTAATGACCATTTTTTTTTTTGGTCTTTGAGGTACAGCTTGCACCACGCTGATGAGGGCCAACAGCCCGAAACGCGTCCGTGGTTAGCTTTTCTTGATTAATCAAGAATGGGTATTTGGCCAATTATGGAATAAAAAAAATCAACGAGAATAGTTGATATTTATTCCGATAGATGGCGCTCAGCCATCAGCAACTTTCAGTTGCACGATAAGGAGATGCCTTTTTCTTTTTTTTCATGATTTATGCACCTTATCCCAGTACAATGTTACATTTGTACTATTTTTTCACATTATATATTTATATATTTATTATATTATAATATATTTATATATATATTTATTCGATATGATCAATACAAAATTCTTTATTTAAAAGAAAGAAGAAATCGCAAGGAAAGAGAAAACATTTCCATTTAAAGAAGGGACATAGGATTTACATACAAAGATAGTTTCAGAATGGATGAGTGTTTCATCTTGAACTTAATCTTCAGAACTTGGAAACTTTGTATTCAATAGCTTTGTTCTAGAGAACTACTAACTTATGCCTCATTTCTATCCAATCATTATGCAGATATTGATTGATACCATGTTTAATTGAGTATTATAATGAATTAATTCATATTAATAAATAAATGCTTATTTTTTATGTGAGCATCCTCAGAACGGTTCCAAAATTGATTTAGATTACATAGTAAGTTGGGTCGGTACCAAAACTGGTTAAAATCGTTTTGAATATTGAAAATTCCAAAACTTTATTTTAGAGGAATTTTAAATTATGAAGTTTTTAGCAAATTATTCAAGTGTTTCGAAACAATAACAATATCTTAAAACGATATTGAAAGTTGTAAATGAAATCAATATTTGATAAATGAAATAATTCAAGCATACGAATGTTTCTTTTACACACACACATAAAACTAACTTCTACTGTTCTTAGTGCAATAAAAACATATTGTGGGACTTGGATCATCAGTGGTGAACCCTCACAGCGGTTTCGCCAATTTAATATACCAGACCGCTTCTTGGAGCTCTAATACTGTATTGGATTATTCTGCTTTTATATGCTACAATGAATGATGGAATCGTAGAAATAGTATTCAAACGAACTATGGACATAAGCTTTTAGGGCCAGAGAAAATTGACAACTAAAATATTTTATTGACATCTTGTCAATACATGAAAAAATGCCCAGTCTGCACTATTTTGAAAGGATAATTATATATATATGTGGAGAATCTTGCCGATTCTCCGTTTGCTCTGTGGTAGTTGTGACAGCTAAGGTGCTGTTAACTGGAAGTTGGTATTGGATTGGTGAATTTTGCAGTCGTAATGGCAGGAGTGAGGACACAGGATAGGTTGGTCAAGGGAACCGATGCTGACAGACAGAGAACATGGAGGAGAGTGAGCTTACGCCCCGCAATTTACGCTATATCAGAAGACAGGTCTAGTA